TCGCGTCGTGTCGGCTCGATAAATTTCACCTACGTGTACACGGGATACCCGGTGGCAGAAAGGAAAGGACAATAAACCTGCGCGTTCGTGGTTATCCGGTGGACGTGTACGTATCTTAGTGTCGGTGTTACGCACTTGGTGCACGCTTGCTAATTGGATTACGCGACACGTGTAGCCCAAGTCAAACTCGATTGAGAGGCGGCTAGTTGAGCGCACGGTGCTGCGTCTCTTGAGATAAAATGCGTCTGTCTCGAGCGGGCGTCTTGGTTTAACGACTGTCTCGTTCTATTTCCTCTCCTTCGAACGATAATATCGACAATCTCTTTGGATAAAGTTAAAATTACTGGATCTGGAATAGACAAATATATAACGAGTGCATTTAAGGCAATATCGCAACGTAACAACGCGCCGATGACAATGGAAAAATTGTCGATAATTTAAACTGACAACTTGGTAAAAAAAGATCATGCAAGGATTGATTAATATTTTGAGGCATAAAGTCTCTCTTTCGACAGTCGTGAGTTTTCTTCGAGGATGACTTTACACCGTGTGGAGAATACTTTGAAGATCAAAAGATTGTTTTCATGTATGTATATATTTTTATTTCAGCCTCTTTGGCCTCGAAATTGACTTTGGTTTTTATATTGCACATTTCGCATTGCATTTATCCTAACTTTTACACGTTATAATATTTACATAATATTTTTGTATCCTATTTTGCTTTATCCTATACTTATTTGTCTTAACTATGCTATTCTTTTGTCTTATTTATCTTAACTATGCTATTCTTTCTACTTAAGTATCTTAACCTAATTCTTTCATTTTATTTCATGTTTATTTTGTTGCTCTCTTCTTTTTAGACCTGCCTTATCTCTTCTTCCTCTTCTCCCTGCCTCAAAAATTGTTTTCATAATTAAATGATTGAAGCCTCCTCTTTACAATGATTTAAAACTTGTTTACTAAAGCGATTTTATTTTATAATATTGGATATTAGAGTTCGAGAAATCCTCAGGTTCCGTCATCTAACTCCAATGTTCCAAGTTCAATAAAGAACTTTTTTCATACGAAAAAAAAAAAAAAATCATACGGTGAGTTTCTTGTTGTAAAGAGAAAATTTCAATCTTCGAGACCATGGTGGATTTAGTGAAGGTAGAAACAATTTTTTAACGTTTCTACGTGTTTGAATTTTTACAATTTTCGAGAAGAGCGTATCCTCATTTTTTCACATGTAAAATTATCTTCGAGAACAACGATCTCACGATCATCGTAGATCAAAGTAGAGAGTTCACGTTTTGAAACGAGACCACGTGACCATTGTTGTTTAAAAAGTTTAAATTTTATCAATAATTTTTCACTGTCATTGTCACGTTTATGTTCTTCACTGGTATCACGTTTAGATCCACCTATTATGATATCACCTATTTATGACCAAATTAATGATACTATTCAGTTCTAACTTAATAAATAAACTTCAAATTAATGATACTATTCAGACCTAACTTAATAAATAAACTCCATTTAAATCGATTGACCGTCTCGTTCCATTTTGTCAAAAATAAAGCTCGATTATATTAAACGTGGACTTCTAACACTGAAAAATCTAGCGTACACGTATAACCAGACTGTTTTGTCATTAAACCGGTACGAGCTTTTACGTTATTTTGCTCGTAAAAAGCTTCGTCGTCGCTGAAAGTTCGTAGATGCACTGGCATTGCCGTAGAGTTGTATCTCTTGCCTGTTATTGCACGAGTACCGAGCGAAATTTATTCTCCACAACAAAATTTATTCTCAAAAAACGTAGGGTAAAAAAAACAAATTTCAACGTGGAATACAATTCTTCGTACGAAGGAAAGCAGACAAGAAGAAGTTTAGTAACCAATGGAATTTTAGTTTGAAGGAAAGTTTTTGTCACGACAGAGCTAAATCCCTTTCTTCTTCTTTTTTTTTTTTTTTTCACAAGTGTCATAACTTGTTTCATTCGATCTCATAACGTGATTTTATAACGTTCGGTTGCACAAGGAACAAGACAATTCTTTCGCCGTTCTACGTGAATTCGTAGCGATCGTCGAGTTTCTCGAAAGACAGATCTGTCTCGATATTGACGTTCGACGCGTATATTAAAGTTTCTTGCAAATTTCGTGCAGCACCAGTCGTCTTTAGACACGAATTTGACACTTCGACGCTGTAAATAATTCTGCGACCAAGAGTTCTCCATCGAGAATTAACTAATTCATTGTTTCACCGTCGCGAGGAAATTTTCGTGACGCAGAGAGAGAGAGAGAGAGAGAGAGAGAGAGAGAGAGAGAGAGAGAGAGAGACGGCGACGATATTATGGCGACGGTACCGCTGAAAGTGCGACATTGATCGCGCTTCAACTGTCATTGCTTCAGAGTGTTCGCGGATTGGGCGATACACGGCATGATGATACGCATAAAAATTCAATATCGAAGTCCTGGGAACCGAATGATAAGCCCTCTGTCGACCTCTAGCTTCTCCCTGTGGCAGTTCTCACAATCAGCCTGCCTTCTATCGATTTGCCGATTCCAATCATCCCGGCACAATTTCTTTCACTCCGTTCGAACGGAAAAAAAAAAAAAAAGAAAAGAAATATGCTTCTCTTCTATTCGTTTCTTCACCTTTGAGGAGATGTCTTGGCGTTTGAATTTTCTTCTTCTGTTAAAAAAAAAAAGTCCTCTTGAAGCTTGAGAATCTGTTATATTGAAAATATACATAGTACTCTATTTTATAGTATTATAAATGCAGTATTATAGTAAAATATATATAGTATTCTATTTTATAGAATATAAATAGTATCCCTAGTTTAAGTTTTCATTTAATAATGTCCGCCATAAAAAGCTGAATTTCGTTATATATTTGTACCACGTTATGTGTTCCAAGAGTTTGGCAACTGAAAATGATTCATTCTTAGGTTAGAAGAATGTCAAAATTGGTGTGCGGATAGAGAGACTTTTAATAGAGACACATATGGTTGAAAAATTTCGAAAATAACGTTAGTTTCATTAACATTAGTTACCTCTAGAAAGACTGGTCAATGACACGATCGAAAAGGGACGAAAGGATCGACGTTGTAACACTTTGGCGATCGTTTTGCAGAAAATCGTGTTAGTTCGAGCCCCGTAGATTGATAAATAGCATTGGATGGTAGCTGCGGAACCTTCTATCGAGACGAGGAATTCTCGACTGTGGATACAAGGGGATTCCAATGTCATCGATAATGAGATTTCTTGCGGTATGGTCACGCGCAGGTCGCCATCGATATCGTCCACGTGTTGCCCTCTCGTTGTAATCTTTTTTTCCCCACTCAGTAGTTAAAGTTCTCGACTATGCTACCGTCGTTTTTATCGAAATTCGATCGGCGAACGATCAGCTTTCTCGAGGTGTGTGTTTCTGCGAAGAAGATTGCAAATTTATACTTAATCTCTTTTCTTGATCCTGACAGAATCGTTGATAACGATTTCCTGTCTCTGCCGGCATTGTTGGCAAATAGGGCGAACGTGTGTTGTTTTTTTTCAAAGATGTGGAACATTGTTCTCATTTAAACGTTTTATTAAAGAAACTACAAGTACAGGACAATACACGTTACGGAAGCCGAGCCTGAATTATTTTAATCTCTCGCCAATATGAAGTGTATTTTAAAAACTTGGTTTTTCTACCAAAATTACATTTACATATATTAAATTTAAATTTAAAATAATACTTCTAAAAATTAAAATTATTATAATAACGAATCCATTAGAACAATAATTTAAAAGAAATTATTCTTCAATTTAATATATTAATTAAAATTGAAAAAAAATTATAACTATGTATATTAAATTTCTTAAAATAAATAATTATTATTTTAAGAAGTTTAATATATATAATTGTAATTATTTTTTTTTTCAATTTTAATGTATTAAATATAAGAATAATTTTTTTTAAATTTTAGTTTAAATTATTATTCTAATGGATTAATTATTATAATAATTTTAATTTTCAGAATCATTATTCAAATCATTAATCAAAATTTAAATTTAATATATTCCATATTACACACGTATTATGAAAATCCTCACCAATATCTGCTTTAAAAATTTTTAATCAAAATTGTATACTATTACATATTACACGCATATTACGTTATACATACATTACCAAAATTACATATTATTACATATTATACACATGTACACATTACGTGAAATGTAATACGTAATGTGTAATAGTATATAATTTTGAAGATAAATGATACATGTAGATGGTTTATTAATACAAAATATGGAGAAGTGTACAGGCTACTGATAAACGTGAAATTAAATTTGACCCGGGATCAGTGTAAATATGAACAGGAACCCTCCACTTTTCTCGTCCTCTCTCTGTTTTCTTTTCCTTTCGTCCATTTCCCGTCCGTTTTGTTTTTCTTTCCCCATCAGGTGAAATTGACGAATTCACGTCTAAAAGAAACAGAGCCGATAATCAATTCGATAACAGACTGTACCGTAACCGACGTTACTTTATTTACGTTTAATTGGCTCGATCGAATCGCTGAAACGATGGCACGCCGTTAACTCATTTCCTCGGATAATTCGATCGAGTATGTTATTTACCTACGTGTTCTAACATCCTAAGTGAATCGAGGTCTCGGAAGGACTCTCCGGACATCCGGTCCGGAAAGTGAAAAAAATCAAATTCCTCTGGCTATTAGAAATTGTTTTTTTTTTTTTTTTTGTTTTTTGTCCAACTATCGAAAGAAAGAAACCAACTCATTTACCAGTTTTTAATCGATTCTATCGCTTCCTCTTCACCTGTTTCTCGCCTTTCCCCCCGAGAAATCACTGTGAATCCCACTCTAGTAATTTTCATCGCGTAGTCGAACAAGGATCCCGCTCTCCTTTCCATTATGTCGCAAGAATTTCATCGACAGGCGCCAACGCGTGCCAGTGACGCGAAACGAAGTGTGCCACAGCGAATATAAATTGCTTTTCCCCGTGTCTGTTTAGATATTGGGCAGCCAGACGGAATATCACTTCGTGCACAAAGCTCTGCCTCACGCAAGAAGCAAAAGATCCGTGCCTCACATGAGAAGGTTGAAGGTGGATCCTTTGGTAAGTATTCCAAAATCGAGTTTTTCGTCGCGTTTCTTTTTCCCCACGGATTATTATTATTTTCTTTCTTTCTTTTTTTTTTTTTAATCAAAAATTCGTTCAGCTGCAAATTTCACTCTCGACGCTTCAGTTAGTCGTTGGTTCGATGAAAAATTTCTCGTCTGAACGGAATCTTTTTCATATAGCGTATAGCGTCTCGCTTCCGCGAATGGATTTTCGAGGGGAATTGTTTCGAAAAGTTCGAAGAGCCACGTGGAATGGTAATCACGTATTGGCTCGTGGGAGGATACGCGGGAACTCGATTCAGAGGACTGGTCGATATAAATGTAAATGAAGACCGCAGCTTGGCGTCGAGTACGTAATTGGACTGAGAACAAATCACGATCGCGTAAAATTACGATCCTTTGACAGCGTCGCGGGGACAGGCACAGAAATTGTCATTATCGATCCTTTAGCGGGGAACGGTTCCGTATGGCTACCATCATAAATTTTCACCGCGCGATCTCTGTTTCCGTTGGCCGATCGCTTTGCTCGATCCCGGGATCTCTGACCTCATATTTTTCATCGTTTGCGTCGGGTCACGGGGCGAAAATGAAACGTAAAATGAAACGACGCACGGTACACTTGATCCTCCCACTTGAATGAACCTAGAGAAAAAAATATTTGAGATATACACTATTCTTCATCGTCTGACCTGTTTACGACCTCCTCTCGTCCATTAGTCATCCCACGAAGCTCGTCAAGGAGGGAACATTAACTGCTCGTCGTTCACGAGACGTTGGAATTATTCGTCGCGTCGTCATTCACGAGAGGGCTCGAATAAATGTTTTCAGGTGCACACGGCGGTGCAGCAGCCCGGGTTCAAGAGGGTGAAGAGAGGCTACAAGCCTCTCAGCGTGGATAATCTGGTGCCACCGTACCAAATTAAAAATCCGGCGAACCCTGGCAACCGTGATCCGTCTGACCCTTACTTCCAGTATCAATGGTACTTGAAGAACACCGGGCAGAACGGCGGCAAACCGAAATTGGACTTGAACGTGAAGGCGGCCTGGGCTCAGGGTGTCACTGGAAAGAACGTTACCACGGCTATAATGGACGACGGTGAGGCTCTGCTTGAATTAACTCTTTCGCTACGGTAGATTTTTGATACGTAACATACGGTAGGAGGAGGTTCGAACGTCGAAATTTTTTTCATCAGCGTGCATTACTCAGAAAGTACATTGATCAAAATAATCAAAACACTGAATTTGCACTGATTTACATATTTATTCGTATTCTGCATTGAAGATTGTTAGTGCGCATGTTAAAAATTTCTAACGATCTGCTAAAGTGTGGTGTAATACATAATTTTACATCATATTTCTTGCATTCGTAGTGCGTCTCCCTTCTTCCGTTATGTTTTCCACACACTACACGTTTGCGCCCTTTTGCGATTAAATTTATCAGCACACCTTTTCATTTTGAGGGTATAAAGTGAAAGAACTGTAAAATAATCACGTTTAAATAATACACGGCTAACGGAAGATGTTGAAATGTTGAATTAGAATTCACTTCGCGTCTGATGCAATTATTACCGGACGCTTGTAGGCGCCCTTTAACCACTTGCGCTGGCAACTGGTTCGCGGACCATAACGAGTGACCGACACGTACACGACTAATTCGTCGCTGTTTTTTTTCTTTCGAACACGTCGATATGATATCGCGACTGATGTTATTTATATCATTTGTTTTGCCATTTAAAACTTACTGTCGAACTAAGAAAATGTTGCAATTTGGGACAAAAAAATTTCGAGCAATGTGAAGTGAACGCCTATAGGCGCCTCTCGTTTGGAACGAAGCAAGTTTAAGCGCCAACAGTAGCCAAGAGATTAAGTTGGCCAATAATTGTGAAATAATACACAGACTAACGAAAAATTGTAATTGTTGAAGTAGAATTCACTTGCGTCTGATCCGAGTGAGGTTTGCTGCAATTATTATCGGGCGCCTGTGGACGTTTTCGGTTCGATTCGAACAATGTGAACCGAACGCCCATAGGCGTCTCTCGTTTCAGCGCCGATAGGCGCCGACAGTGCCTCGAAAGCAAATTTCAAAAGCGCCATTAGGTAGCCAAATAGTAGCCAAAGGGTTAAAGTTGATTAAATGCGACGTGTTTGAAATACAACCACGGTTTAAGCTACGGTGGCATGTAATTATCGAGTGACTCTGTAGGTCAACATACACGTCTGTAGGTCATATGCACGCGTGTATATAGGTGTAGAACGATTTGGCGCGATTTAACGGAAACAATTTTACCCGCGACGTCTCGAAATCTCATTAACAGGAAACGTTTCAGCTTAGATTACGCGACGCATGAATGTCAGTGGCCGGGTTCCTCAGGTTAGTCGATTATTAATTGCACCAGTCGACCAGTGCTCCGCGCTAGACGATCAATTATCTCGACGTAATTTCATTAACTGTTGTCGTCCTGCTGCTTTGATCTTTCGTTTTAACCCTGAAAAAAATAGTCTTTACGCGCGTTGTCGCGCGGAACAAACGCGATTACGCAAGAGATGGCGGTTGAATCTCTTTTTAAAATTTCCCGGTGATCCTCATCGACGCGATAACCACGAGAGAACGCGCTTGCGTTTTCAACGTAGTCGAACGAAACTGCTAGGCTCGTTGAAATATCTATTCGAACTTCGTGGATTGATTGAACCGTGTTGCGTGTTGTACCCTGCTTCACACAAAGGCGGGAGCAGTTTTCAACGAACACCGACAACGGTCACAACTGGCCAACGAATTGAAATCGACGCGACGAGTTCCATTCCGCGGCGATGTATTAACAACTAGCCGCCCTGATCGATTTTATCACGGTTTGACACATATACCCTCGTTCGTGGACTGATGACCATTCCTTGATATTCCTTTCATCGTCGACGTTCTTTTATTGCTCACACTGTATTGCAGAGGATTTTTGAAATTTCGACTCTCGACGAGTTATCGTTTTTTTTTTTTTTTTTTTGGAATAAACCGGAATACACCAGATATTTATATTCGACGTGTATCGTGTGCGTCGGAAATATTTGTTATTTGATGACGCGACTGTGTCCGATCTGCATCGTTTGCCTAGATTTTTTCGTTTATTTTTCATGGTGTTCCTCGACAGTGTGGATGTTATTGAGTCATATATCGAAGTTCCAACCAGAGTTGAGTTTGCCAACGTATCGACCGAGCCATTCTAGAAGTGTTCGGTTCACGGTGTAATAAAAATCTTGCACGATTGAATTACAGCGGATGAAAAAACGAACAAAATATATTGGCGATATTTTTTTGATGTATTTACTAGCGAAATCTGTTTCGGTGAATAATTATCATTACGTACGAAAGTAATATATACGGTAGTAATTTAATAATAATTTATACAATAATTAATACAAGTAATATGAAAATTCGCGAATCAAGCAATTATTAGCACATCTAGTTTCTTTGCAATATCTTGATCAGAACAAACGACACATTAACAAAATCTGCAAAAATTTCCATAAATGGTTTATTACGTGCAAAAAGCAATGTGCACAGTAGCAATAATGAATTATTACAACAACAATAATAATACAATATAATGATTTATACAATAATGACGCACAAAATTATTATTTTTAAATGAAGTATAAAAATTCAAAGAGTCGAAATTAACACACTTGTAATACCAACGCTTGACCTATTATATGTTTAATGGCGGAATGTTACTAAAAAAATTACAAAATACCCTATGTCAAATGATATCACAAAAATATTTTATATTCCGTTCAAATACATAGTACAGTTTCAAGAAAGAATCCTCACGTATCCAAATCTTTTTGATTCTCGAATTTTATATCATTATTGTATAATTTATTATTGAAAATTGCTACTTCGCGCATTACAAACAGATCTTCTTAATGTGTCATTTGTCATTGCAAAAATATTGCAAGGAAACTCAAAGAAGGTGTGCCAATCTGTTTTGAGCCACCGTAGAGTTGTTCCATAATAGTATAATAAGGCGAATATATTTCCTTCAAAAGAGGCTGGAAAATATCGAGCAATAATTAGAGCTTCTTGTAAATACGCGTGGTAATCGTTATAATTGAAAAGAAACTCGTAGAAAACACCGTTAGTGTGTCGAATAGCACACATTACATCCTACTTAAAACACATATGCCACTTGGGGATAAAAAAATGATATATTAAAAAACTGTATTTTCGCTTTCCGGTACGCGAGTAATCCAGGGACAAGAAGGCAAGTTTGCAAAAGATAAATCACTTTTCTCTTCCCCCCTGAAATGGTCTGACATTTGACGCTTACTTACTTGGTGTTTTCCACCAAGAACTTTTTTAATTCACGATGAACGACGGGTGTAACTGATGGCCAGTCTGAACCGCTTATTAAGCCCAGAGCCTCGACATACATCTTCGCTAAGCTGTAACCTCGAATATCCAGTTTATTACAGCTTGTTAAAGACGTTGGCCCTTTATTCGGTGCTATCGATTTCGCTCGACAAATATCGGGTTAATTATCTCGTCGTTGGCGCAAGTCACGTCACATCGCGCCGCGTATTACATATTACAAATTTACAACGCTAATCGAAATTTAGGTAAACAAATTGTTTTGTTATTCGATCGTTTAATCCTCTGACGATCTGTCGGAGTGGTGGTATTTCGTGGAACTGGGAGATCAATATTCACGGGGAGAAAAAGGAAAGATCACGTTCCTCGTGAATGGATAGCAGTAGCAGAAATTTAACCTTCTATCGCAAGATGGAAGTTGGATGGTTGAATACAAATTGCGTACAACATTTCAATGCTACCTTCCGGAGCGAATGGCTGAGAAATCGTAAAGCAAGAAGTTACTTTACACGGCAAGCAAAGTTCGATCTCTGGAAAGTAGCTCCGAATCATTAGCTCGAGGGCACTTTTTAACGAACCTCTCGTAGAATCCTGAGGCAGCCTTTGCAACCTTCGTTTCTCTCTCAGTTTACAGGATCGTATTTTCCGTACTCTGAAAACCTTGTTTCTTTTCCTCTGTTCCAGGAGTCGACTACATGCATCCGGATCTGAAGTACAATTACGTAAGTACGGCCATTGTAGCGAGCAAATACCTGAAACAAAGACTGCAATTCTCGCTAGACCGACGGTGGTTACCTTTTATCGACAAATTCGTTCTCCAATAAAGGCATAAAGTGGTTGACGAGCTGCGTCGGAAGATAGATTTCACGGAATTGTTCGTTCCAGAAAATTTGGTCTTCCTCTCAGCCCCTTCGTTTGCCCCTATCATGAGAGAAGGACGTCCATGAGGTACGTTCGCGTAATGGCACGTTGAAATTCAAATGAAGACCGTAAGCACTTGGTCTCGCAAAAATCTGCGACTGAGATGTCCTGGCCAGGATCCACTCGAGCATAGACGGCCATTGTTCGTCGATGTTAATCAACGCCAAGTGTTTTTCACCGGCTCTCTTTGACCTGGGAGATGAGACTCGACCCAGTGGAAAATCAAGGAGAAACCTAGCGAACCGTATTGGATAATGCATTTTGAAATTAGAGTCAGTATCTTTAACTAGGTGTACCATGAGATGGGTAGAGCAAAATTATATATTTCCGGGTACTCGTTGCAATTTTACCCGGTGTTTTGAGTAATTTATACTTTCGTGGCAAATAAAAACATGCGAAACAGTTAATTATTTTATATATAATCGTTTAATTATTTTTATATATAGCAGTTTAATTATTTTATATATGATAAAACTGCAACAGTTTATTTTGTACCAAACTGTACGAAGTAAGAGTTCAATAGACCAGTCTAATAGGTCACTAGAATAGTGGAGAACTCGACAAGAATGTTGCGTTCGCCAAAAAGTAATTGCGTTTTTTTTCTCTAATATATATCTTAACTTTTTTTTTTTTTTTTTGAAAAGATAAGAAGTGAAGAAACACTGAAGAGAAATTGCCTGTAATGGTCAATATATTAATAAAGTGGAACAAAATGGTCAATTAATATTAATAAAGTTTTTGTTTCTCGTGAAAAATTTGCCTTTTATTTTACACACAGAAAAACGCAATTACTTTAATGATATGCAAGATTGGCAAAACTTGTTAAAAAATATTTATATATACCAGCAACATCTGCCAGCTCTGGAAGAATATTTTCCACATCTGGAAATTGTCACCTACAATTGGTATTTTTATTGCATTTTACAAAAATTTAAATTTAATTTAAAGTAATCACTTTACATTGTTTTATTATTTATTGTTACGTATTGTACGTAAATTACATTGTGGACATCCGAGTAGAAATAACAGATATTCTCAACTGTCTCGTGCACCTGAGCCTCTCACAAGTAATAGCTCTACTTTTCAATTTGTTGATTGTTACCACTCGTTATATACATATATCAAGAGAGTACTATTCACACTTCAACATTTGGAAATTTCATCTTGAATTTTGGACAAAAGTCCAGCGGGAGGAAATATCAAAAAATAAGAGAATGATTCAGTCGTCAAGTGCCTTTGAAAAAACAACAGCGAAGGTAGAGAGAATTCTGTTCGCAAAGAAACAGTCCGTTCTACAAACTGTCTCGCCACAAGTTTCCTGCGAAGGGAAGGCTGATCCACTCGATTCGGATCATGTAGCTTAGCCAACTCCTTCAGATCTGTTTGACGAAGAAACAAGAAAAGCGCATTAAACACAATTGGTTGAAGGAGACGCTAACGTGCAGGAGTTGATAAATTCACGCTCGCAAGTATGACAGATACTTTGGCGAAGCACTTGGGATAATAAAGCACGTCGAATTATTTTGTTTCATGACGACGATGCTCGACCTATTTCCCGGACACCTTACGTATTGTTAATGCAAACAGTCGTGATGTTTCATGAATAAAAATGTGGGAAAACGTCGTGAGCACGTGATGGAGGGAATGAAGTAACAAGGAAAAGACAATAATAAAAGGTTCTCGCATAGTTTTCCCAAACGCGGGAAAGTTGTAATCAACTGTTATAAGAGTAATGAAACTAAAAGAACGAAAAACTGGGAAACTAGTTATCCCGTCGGAGGATAAATTCTGGGACTCTTGTCAGTGTTGTTCAATTAGACGGTAGAAAAAAATGAGGCGATAGAAGAGACAGAAAGAGGAGGAAGGATTAATCGGAGGCTAGTTTTTCGAGACGAAGATTAATAGTCGAGCAGCGTTGTCTGCGGGTATGAGAAATTTATGTGGATTAAAATTAATAGAAAGGAATTTGCATGACGTGTAGATTGCACGTCGTTGGATACTGTATTCAATTAGTTACGAAAGCCGAGAAGTCTGGACATTTTTATCGAAGATTTATTCTGATTGATCGCCGGTAGAAATTCGCGCAATATTTTACGCGCGAAGGGAAGGATTCGATCGCGAAGGATAATAAAGGAGTTACTTTTAAAACATCGAGCAGCAGTGTATTCTCGTTACAACAGAAGTTCGCAAGGGACGCGAGGAAAAAAAATTGACTTCGAAGAGAGGATTACCATGGTGAAGGCACTCCTTTGCTTATCAAGCAGTTGGGATGTTACAAGAAAAATACGAATTCCGGTTTATGCGCATGCAAAATGCAGTTTTTGCAATGCACAGCGACGGCAGAGTTAAAGAAGTTATAAAGATGAAAATGTAGCACAACAGAGGGAGAAGGAAGGCAGTGTTTCTGTCGTCGTTTCACTGAAGAGACTTTTCATCCTAACGAATGCCGCTAGCCAGAGTAGCTCTGTTTCCCAACCAAACTCGTGGTCACGTAGCCTGTTGTTAAAAAGAGAAACAGCAAAAGTTCACCCATCCAATTTCAAGTTTCGATAAGTTTCACGTTCGAAGCCAAGGGAAACGGATTAGCTTTTCTCGAGTTGCATTTCTCAGAATTACGTTTCTTATCTTTTTTTCGAAGATTCGAAAAAGAAATCTGTTGGTCTGTTTCAGAACGCCAAAGCTTCTTACGATTTCAGCAGCAACGACCCTTATCCGTATCCCCGATACACCGATGACTGGTTCAATAGGTGAGTGAAATGATAACCGTGATAAAAATCTTCTGCGCTGTCACGAAATGTCTTTTACAGAATTATATTATTTGCTATGCAAAAAAAGTGTAACTGGTGTTGCGAGTAACGAGATTAGAAAGAGGCTGGTGGCGTTGGGTAATAGGAACTTGGAAGTGAAGCTCGATGCGATCGCGTAATTAATGATCGTCGGATAGCAATTAGCGTGGCCGGCGGATAGACGGTTATTAACGGTGGAAAATTGTTTCGAGCTTCTTATTTCACCTCCATATTGCTTCTTTTTCCCTCCTCCCATCCTCACCCTCTCGCGATGATTGAAGGTGACACGGTTCTCGAGGATTATAACGATGCTCGAGCATCCCCTCGCGACAAATCAGCGAAAACTTTTCATCCGATAATGAGAAATCGACTTTTCAGTTAGCGTATCGGGAGCGAACCGGCTCTGTCTTCGAGTTTGCATTCACAAAGTTTGTGAATCCGAATCCGGGGAGGGAGAATATTCGCGCAAAGGCTTTCTCTATGGCGGCTGATTATTTCGCGTTTTCGATCGATTCGCTGCTAATTCAGTCTCGCGTCGAGAATTATGGGAAATATTCTAATTTTCTCGCAGCTGGCGTGGAGAAAAATTTTTCCACGATCCGCTTATTGGCCGCGGCGGGAGGGCGGGTTACGCAATCTTGCCGAGCAATTTCTACGTCTCGTTTGTGCCACTGGCAAACATTTCCCCCTCGAATGAACACCGTGAAAAGCTTGGCACGGTAATTGAAACGGCTCTCGACTGGAGAAATAAAGAACTCGCGTGATAAATCTGCCTCGTAAGACACGAAGCTGAAACATCCGTTCGCTCGCTGTTCGATGAAATTCGTTCGCCATTTTCGCAATGTCTCTCTCACCCTCGACCTTTCCATCCTGCGTATTTCAAGAGGCGAACACGCAGATCATTCCAGTAGCCGCGTCAGTCCGCTGAAAAGAAATTTCACAGGCAATCACCTATGAACTTTTCGACGAAGAACGAACAGGGAACGAACAGTGTATTTATTTCCAATCATCGCTCCGAATTATACAGGGTTTCATGTAACTGGTGGTACAAGCGGGAATGTGGTGATTCTACATGAAAAACTGAATAAAAAATATGGAATAAAATTTTTTCAAAGCTTTTTTTCCGAAAAAAAAATGGCTTTGAAAGTTTTTTTATCGAGTACGCGTGCACCTGATCAAGATTCAACCCAACGCATTTCATTATTATCTCTACTAACATTTGCAAACATTCCCAATGTTCGTACGCGAAGGCACATAATGTCTACCTTTCGCCAATTTTTTTTTAGTTTAAAAATTGTTAGAAGTGACGTCCACGTTGTTGCATGCATAACTGTGCTCTTATTAAATTTCTACGAACATTTTCTAATGTGTTATTTTGCAGTTTCAATGTTGCAAACGCTATAATAATTTTTTCTTTTAATTGTTCAACGTTCGCTGTGTCGCTAGAGTGCATCATGGATATAACATGGATATAACATGACCCCATAAGTAAAAATCCAGCGGTGACAGGTCCGGAGATCGTGGTGGCCAAGGTATTCTTCCATTGCGGTCGATCCAATATTGATAGTTTTCGTTTAAAAAATTTCTCGCTTCACGACTGAAATGCGATGGTGCTCCATCTTGTTGGTAAATTAAATTTCTTCGAATTTCCAGAGGAATGTCTTCCAATAATTAGGTTGAATCTTGATCAAGTGCACGCGTACTCGATAAACTATCGAAGCTATTTTTCTCGGAAACGAAGGTTCGTATGAAAAAAATTTATTCTATAGTTTTTATTCAGTTTTTCATGTAGAATCATCACCTTCCTTTCTTGTACCACCAGTTACATGACACCCTATATATAATTCGAACGTGCTCGATTCTTCGATTCTTCGATTCTTCGATTTATCCAGCGATTCACAAGGGACATCCCCGTTAATCCGTGACATCGCTTACACGTGGAAAACTCAATGGAAAACGAGACGTGTTGATACGTCACCGACAAAGTGTATCGTATTCTCGTATCTTCTTTACGATGCGTGTTTCTCGGTTTTATTGGTTCGCGACGCGATGAAAGCTCGAGTTTTTAGAAACATGACGAATCGAGCACAACGGCGATAAAAGCGAATAGAGACGACCCCGATAAAGCCCGATGGAACTCGCTCGCGCACAGCGACTTCCACTTGGAATCGACGAACCGTGAGATTCTACGCTACACTTCTCCGTCACCGAGTACGCGAAACTTTCGGTAGCTCCCTGTCTGACGGACGCTTCGTCTTCTGCGCCTCAACTTCCTCGGGCTGCAATATCGTTTTGCATGCTCCTTGTCGTTTATCGCTGTTGAAACTAACTGGTAGTTACGGCGGCACTTCCTTTGAGGAACATTCATCCCCGAACATTTTCATTCGACAAAATGTCCCGAAGTTTCCGTCTTGGCGTTTTTGATAGATCTGATTCTATCTGAAGAGGAACTTGAAGGGTGAACGCATTTGAATTTAGAAGAGCGACTCTTCGTGTCGGATTTTCATGTAATTTCCCGTCGAGCAACTGGTGAGTGGACTGTGATTAATTTCTGTGATTCGTTCCTTCGACTTCCTTGCTCGTCATCCATTCGCGCGTGCAGTTTCCCACAGTTCGTACTACGTTTCGTAACTTTCAGTCACATGCGAACGCCCCTTTCGTTAATTAATTTCGAATCGAAGTTCGATAAGCGCTGCAACAAATCAGCAATGATTCAACACTCTCAACTGTCAAAGTGGTCAAAATTTATGCGAGCTTCCACAGGAACTTTATGATATTTGAAAGAGCGTGTTTTCGCTTGAATGATTTTTAGGAAAATGTATAAGTAGAAGCCCTTATATATAAAAGAATTTATAGAATTGTACAGAATTATATACATACAATTATATATATATATAATTCTATTTGTTAGAATTATATATATATTATTATTATATATATTATTAATTTTATATATTATCTGATACGTTCGTTGTTATATTATAAATTTTTTCCCCGTTACTCGCACTGCAATTTCTCCGCTAAAAATTTTATAGCATTAATCGACGACAGTTCCGGGGGTGAAATCAACACTCGACTCGAATCGGTGCGACGTCATCGAGAACGGCCGTTTAATTTTGCTTTAAATGGAAAATGGAAAGATTAAACGGCTGTGGCTGTTATCGCAGCCAATTCTGGACTATCTCGGCCGCTGATTGCGCAATAAAATCGCATTTACCGCGGGTTGTTTGCGGTGCCAGTTAAAACGTTGCCACCAGATGCGTCGTCGAGTTTGCAATTGCCTCCCCAACCAGGCGCATTCAGCAATAAGCGCAGCCAATAAACGACAGAGAGATCTTTGGTAATTTTCTCCCGCGACGAGCTATTTTTCCCCGTTTTCCATTTTCGTTGGAATGAAACTCTCATAAAACGTCGTCCGAGTCTTTGAATCTTGAACTCGCGACGGAAGGGTGCTCGAGCGGCTGCGGTTGCTCGTAAATTCTCATTCAAGGGAGATCGTGTTCGTTCCTTTCCGCGAGAAAATCCCGTTATTTGTGCTCATAAAGGACGAACGCGGAGAGGATATTTCAAGTATCGCGCTTCGTTTATTTCTACTTGCCTTATGCCACCACCAATTTATTGAGGTTAAAGAGAAACGAGAAAAAAAGAGCGTTTCACGGTACACCTTTGAATTATTCAATGTGTCGAAATTTTGATAACCCGGGTCGACGAATTAGTTGTGCACGAACAGAACGAATGCATTGTCGAAGCACATTACTTATTAACACATTCCAATAATTAATGTAAAATAATAATTGGAATATATTTGATAATAATGGGATAATTTATAATATAAAAAATTTATAACATATATATATATATATATATACGTGCAAAGTCCAACAAGCGAATGCATTTTGTTTGATATAAAATAAAAATAATTTTTACAAACACATATTTTTAAAATTTTTTGTTAATTTATTTGGAAATATAATTAATGGATTCATTTTCCAGTATTATGTGAAAAATATCCCTCACGTGACCACCATTTCTCTTTCTGTGGCCATTCTGTATTAACGTGCCTTTAATCTCTTGCGCTGGAGGTCCCAAAATTGCAATATTTTGTCAGTTTCAAGTATAGGGAAAGCAAATAATAAATTTATTACTTTTGAATAACTTCTATCCAGCGACGTCACACCGACGAGTTGAAAAAGAAAGCGACGAATTGTTGTATACGGTTTTGGTCGCTCGTTATGGTCCGCAATCAGTTGCCAGCGCAAGTGGTTAATCGCTTCCTCGGATCGATTTGCACAGTCTGCTAATCACCAGACGATTAACATCGTCTGGATTCTAAGCACGGAGCAATCTAAGCGCAGCAAAAACATTTCCCCGGTCACGGCCAGGATCTAATCAGGATCGTTTTTCTTGAAAGCCACGGGACCAGATGCGCCGGCGAGGTGGCAGCTGCCCGGGACAACGACGTCTGCGGCGTGGGCGTAGCTTACGACTCGAAAGTCGCCGGGATCCGAATGTTGGATCAGCCGTACATGACAGACCTGATCGAGGCGAACAGCATGGGACACGAACCTGACCTCATAGACATTTATAGCGCCTCATGGGGACCGACTGACGACGGGAAAACCGTGGACGGGCCGCGAAATGCGACGATGAGGGCCATCGTGCGCGGCGTTAACGAGGTACGTATTAGTGTCACGTTTTCTCATCTTCTACATCATGCGTCGGATCTGTTTACCGCCCTTCGGTTCGTTTATTTGCTTCGTCCACTCGCTCGAGCGTGAGATCAAGTCGAAGGTGCTCGCAGTCGCTTGATTATTAATAAATAATGATAGTGACAGTGATAAGTAAGTAATTTATTACTCTGAAGTTAATGTCTAAAAGAATTTTCGTGAATCCTTTGAGTACAGAGAAGATAAACAATAATAGTAATAGCGATAGTTAGTGATAAGCAGTAGTTTCTTTCCAAACTCTCCAACTATAATAGATACAGAGATTTATATTCTGAAAGCAATGTTTTAAAGAATTTTAATGAATCCTTTAAGTACGACTACAGAGAAGATAAATAATAATAGTAATAACGATAGTTAGTGATAAGCAGTAGTTTCTTTCCAAACTCTCCAACTATAATAGATACAGAGATTTATATTTTGAAAGCAATGTTTTAAAGAATTTTAATGAATCGTTTAAGTACGAGTACAGAGAAGATAAATAATAACAGTAAGAAGCAATAATGTGATAATAAGAAGCAACAGCTTGTTTTCAAACTACTCTGAAGGCAATATCTAAAAGAGTTTTAATGAATTTTAAATACAAGTGCAGAGAAGAATGACAATGACAGTGAAGAGTATAAATGTGCCAATGACAATGAAAAGTTGTCGATAATTTAAGCTGTTATAAAAGAAGATTATATAACTTGTATAACTGTTATATAACTATTATATAACTTATTCACTCAATTTAAAGCGTGACATTTCTACTTGGACAGCCGTGAATTCTTTCTCTTCAAAGATGACTTTATATCCTATAGCGAATGTGAAATTGACTCTTCTCTACTCGAAAATTCATACGCGTGTAGAAAATATTAAAAACACATTTTCTTCATCATTTCAATCGTCATTTGAAGATTGAAGTGTCCTTTTTACGATTCGTTGCGCAATGTTTCTTTTTTCGCGAATTTCGAAAATTTCATCGAACGTTGAATATTAGCTTTGACGTTCCAAGTTTAATAAAATTCTTCAATAGAATTCTTCAGTGTTTTTACAAGCGTTTGAATTTCTACAATCTTCGATTTTGCCAGACATGCATCTTCGAGAAGAGCTGCCACGTCTGTCAAAGTCACGTTTCGAAACAACATCAAATTGACGGTTCTTTTACCAAGTGAAATTTATTTAGTCTAGATAAGCAATTTTTCATTGTCGCCAGTACAGTTGCACGTTCGAGGGAAATCTTCTCTGGAATATATAACGCGTGTTGCGCGCATAAAAGTTTTCCAAAGGAATATACACGCGAAGCTGTAACCTCGACACGTTTCTCATTCGACGTCGTCCACCGGATTTTATTTTCTCCGTCGACGTGAAAACGGAACTCACTCGGTGGTGACCTTTGTGTGCGCGATCGCCGACGACCAACGGTGATTTCTCATGAGAGGTAAACTTTCATGAGGACATTCCGTGGCGAAACTTTCACGAGAACATGTGGCATGTAATTTTTATGTGTATTGATAAACACACGGTGACAGCTGTTCCGCCCACGATACTACGGTGCCATCCATCTCTCGCTCGCAAGGAGAGCATAGAGGAACATCGATTGCCGTGATTCGTTTCTGATATCGTAGTATCGTATCGTGCCGGGGCATGTGTTATCTCTGTGGTGCATGTTTCCAGCACAAAGCGAGACATCGGTAACCGTGCCAGTAAACCAGAGTCGGTTTTCACGAGAGAGTTGCTGTCGCGCGGTCTCAAACTTTCAACAAAAACTACGTTGCATCGTTTCCCCGAGTCATGGTGTCTCTTTATTTATTTAAAAAAAGTTTATTTAGTTGAAAAAAAAGAATGTTCTTTCATTAGTCATGTTATTCATCTTCCAAAACGAGCCTCGGAAAAGCTTGTCGTCTCTCTCGATGATAAATCGGTTTACTTGGAAAATAAAATCGCTCACGGTTACAGTTCGTCAGAGTGATAACGCGTAAATGTAACTTCGAAAGCAATAAAAGTGAAACATGTGTCAGAATTGTCGACAACAATTGTCGAAGTATCGAAGAGATTTGTTCTGGGGATTCTAGCAACATTTCTCGTGGTAAAACTCGAGTAATTATGTTCTACGTCAATACTTTTTCAATAATTCCCTGAAGTTCTAACATTTTGTGTACTATTGATTTTGGTTGTTATTTGAATAATCTGAGTTACACTGAATTAGTGTAAAAATTAACTTGACACGGTGAATAAAATTTAATTGATTGGAAATAAAAATTTTAATTATAAGAGAATGATAGTTAAATTTAATGTTTAATATACATTTTTTTATAGCAAATAAAAATAATAATAATAGTAATAGTAATAGTAATATATAATAAAACAATTATATATATATGATGAATATTGATAATCCAAATTAATATTAATTTACTATATCTATATATTTGAATTTTCACAATTTTCACGATTTATTATATAATATATACATATAAATTCAATATTTTACGTTTTTCATTCAACACCGTTAAGAGTATATGCTTTCCCTTTGTCAAAATTGCTTCCTCTATGAATCACGTACTTCAAACATACTTCACTACATACACAGCAACTCAAAGGATTCACGGTGGTGTGTAATGTTGCCTTTTTTTCTCAGAGATTTCCACGTTCTCGTCAGAAACACGTTACGGGATTTCAGCTTTTATATATTTTTTTCCCTCATCATTGTATGTTTTTCATCATTAGCAATCCCATTTCCGCTTTGTTCACTTTCCCATATTTTCCTCTCCCCATCTTCTTAATTGCATTTCTTTTCTTTTTTTTTTAGCTTTTATCGAGCAGTAACTTTGTTTCGTAATGTTCATTATCCCTCCGTGTCTGTTGGAATAATGCCTCACGGGTTTATAATCAGTCTCAACAAGTAATTTACACGGCGTCCGTGTAAATTAATTTTTACCGAAGCTCTTAATCAGCAAACGTTCTTTCCCCCTCTTTCATTTCTTTTTTTTTTTCGTTCGTTCGGCTTTCATTTTCCTCCGTTTCCTCCTCTTCTTTCTTCTTTGCTCCTTTTCTATCGAGGAAGGGAAGGACAGGAAGTAATGAAGTTAATTCGCCAACTTTGTGTTGCGTCGTGGAAGAGCGCTGCCCTAATTAACTCCGTAATTGCGCCGCGAATTTCTGACGGTCGTCACGTCAACGGAAGTCACTCCACGCCGCTCGAGAGTCATCTCTGAACGGAGTATCCTTCGTCGATAATCTTCTTGGAAGGCTCTCTTAAAAATCTCTTCGACAGAATATCACGTTTAGTGTTAACGTGCCTTTGAACGGTTGCAAAATAAGGAAAATTAAAGAATCTTTTCGCAGTTAAAATTACACATTGAAAGAAATAGTGAATTTTATTATAAAAAAATAGTAAGTTGAAAAAATAGTAAGGTGGAAAAATTTAATTCAAAAAAACTTCATTGGAAAAATAGTAAATTTTATTACATGTTGTTCAGTTAGTGATTGCTGTAAAATTTGAAACGTAGGAAGATAGCGGAACATGGCCGCCATGGTGGTAAGTTTAGTTTAGTCATGATTTTCTTATCAGATATGTCTCTGTGTGATTTTATCTAAATTTTACCAAACGTTTTAAATTTCACGTTAAATTGTACAAGTTAGTTGGAAGCTAGTACTAGTTTGAAACATCAATTTTCTTTTAAAAAAATCTACGTGTGATTTTCGTTGTGAATTTTCACTTCCTTTGTTAAAAAAAGGAAAAATGCACAAATCAAGATTTATTATTTCGAGTATTAGACAATTGAGAGGAAAATGTTTTTCAAAGTTATCTGTTGCCATTAGATGTCGACGGAAGCTCCAAGTTAATTACTCTTCTAAAAGAATCGTAATAACAGCGTATAATACAATCACTGGAAAAATCGATTACCCTGACTTTGTCAGAGACATGTAACATCCTTAATTAAATAACATCGAATAATTAAAGTTTTGCTCGGCGAAACACTTTTGAAACTCCTTTTTCAGACTTTCTTTCACGAAGGTACGAAGCACGAAAATTAGAGTTACTCGTCGTCCCACGTTAATCAAAGTGTCGCATGCAGAAGACTGAATCATCTATTTTCTGTTAAAAAAAAAAAAAAAAAAGAACAACGTTTACGTTTCAAAAGAATTTTTCGAACGAACACGTCACTGTGCGTGTACATCGTGAACAACAAAGACAGGATTGGATTTGTCAGGCGCTTGGTGCACGCTTCGAGCTTCAAAAAGTCTTTTCTCTATCGAAAAACTCGAGTTTTTGAAATTCCCACGTACCATCGAAGAGATGGCCAATAATTGCCTCGAATCCAATTACCGTGCACGCTCCATTCTGAACCGAAAACGTCGATAATTTTTTCGTCAAAGAGACGGCGTATCCTCGCCCAGACTTAATTGCCAAGATAATCGAGTTAATGCTTGTAAAAGTCACGGACGTTGATTGCCAGTTTCACAATAATTTAAACAAAAGGAGATTGGACAAAATAATTTAGACTAGATTGGATAATTAAAGCTAAATTGGACAGGAAGAAAAGCAGCTGGTTTCGATTTGGACGGCTATCACTTAATTTGAAATGCGTTTAATTTAATCACGGGAGAATCTCTCAGCAGAGATATTCGAGGACTTGTTGTAACCCTCGGATCGATACGATCGATGCCGCCCGTTTATTATAGGTGCTCTTTACCATTATCATGGACGTGACCGCGACCAATTAACCGAGTAATTAATTTCATCGGACCTCGTGCTCGTGTTTGCATCTCGTTCGTCTCGCTGTTTCGAATAATGTCGAACGTTTCATCGTCGTAGCATCATGCGGGGAGTGGACGAAAGTATTCGCACGCTTGGTGAAAAACTGACGGTATTTCAAGCTCTGCGAAACAACAATTTTAAGTAAATTTATTTTCGTTGTCGAAAACTGTCGAAAATTTCAATCTCTCGAAAATCACTGAAAAAAACTTTTTAAAACGTCTAGGGCTATTTCAATATTCAAGAGTGACGTCTTCCTTATCGAACTTTGAACTGCAAAAATTCAAGAAATTCTAAAATTTTGCCATTTGGCGTCCGAGGTGACGTAGTTTTAAGACTAGATGGATTTAGTCGTGAACAAATTTTGTTTAACTTTCACAGAGGCACGTGAATTTTCTCACTAATATTCGAGACTAAAATTAAAATTATTTTTTTTATTATAAAACTTATTATTAAAATTTATTATTAAAATTATTTTTATTATAAAATATTTTTGCTACATAATGTAAAAAAGAAAGAGACATCTTTGAAAAAAATATACAGCTGTCGTCAAAGCTGGAGGTTCCACACTTCAAGAGGTCAAAGTCGATTGTTGTACGACTTATTTTTACGAAGCTATAACAGGCTTGAAATATATATATATAGACAGTTTTTCATCGAACTTGCAAATCTACCACCTCGTGTCGAAAGATACACAGGCGTTAATCTTTGATTATTCGTCGAATTCTGCGGGGAATTTCTCTTTGTTTTCTAATTGCGCGACGTTGCGACGGATTTTTCCCTCTGTCGGAACGACGGACAGAGGCCAATCGATAAGTGTCAAGGTCCTCTCTGTACGCGGATATTTCACGTTCGAGGTACGACATCTCTCGTTTCAGAATTTCCCTTAACAACTAGTCGTTGCACACTCGACGCGTGACAGGTCGTTACGTCGCGCTGGCAGCCAATTGGGAACGGAAGCGCATCGGGGATGTAGCTGTCGACCAAGAAATGAACTCGGAATGCGAGCATTCTTCCGCTGCATGTTCGAAATATCTTCGAGATAGAAAGAAAGAAAGAAAGAAAGAAAAAAAAAAAACGATGCAATAACGCTCGCTTAAATTTTCAATAAATTCGATGGCTTTTGTTGCAATTGTCGCGGAATGGCAATCTTACTCCCAAAGGTAATTTTAAATCCTTTGTATCAATTTTTACAACAGAATCGTATTTGTCGGTTGATTTAAATTGCACAGAACTGGAAGGATAATGTAACGAGAAGCGATAGCATTGGGTTATTATATGTTGAGCTCTTTTTGCCGAGCTGTATTAAGAGCCACCCACTGGATAATTCTGTTCTAAACTTTGGTGATTTATTTTTGTAAGCTTCTTAAATATTTTGTACTTAAGAAGCTTGTAATAAATTAGGCTGAAAACGGATTGATTTGGATTAGTAACTATTGATTGAAGAACTCTTGACAATTCAGCTGAAGCTAGCTGCTCTTCGCCACTGAATGAAGTGGTCAAGCTTATATACAATGAAAAGTATAACTCTATCAAAGAGTGAAAAAAATTGTCGTAACTTCGTAAAAATAGATCATCCACTTGGTCTGATTTCAAAGGGCGAAGCTCCTACAGAGTTCTTTCTTTTTAAAGACTCTCTTCTCGAAAATTGTCAAAATTCAAACGCACGTAGAAATATTAAAAAGAATTTTTTCCAACATTAAATTCACAACAGACCGAATTTTTCTCTTTACGACGATTTTCCCTTTAAAACTCGCTCTACGATTTTTTCCCCCACCACTTTATTAAATTTTAAAGTTAGGTGACGAAATATTGAAATTCTTGTCATTCGACCTAATATTAAACGTTCAATAAAATCGAGTTTTAAAGGGGAGAGTTCAATTTTCAAAACAACAGTTACATTTAATTACGAAAAAAATTTTTTTAATTTTTAATATTTTTACAGATATTTGAATTTTGACAATTTTCAAAAAAAAAGTATCCTTAAGCGCTGCATAATGTAAAGTCATCTTCAAAAAAAAAAATACTTAAAAGTGTCAAAGCAGAAGTTTCACGCTTTGATCACTTGCGCTGGCAACTGGTTCGCGAACCATAACGAGTGACCGAATCGTATACAATTGGTCACTTTCTTTTTGAACTCGTCGGTATGAAAATATATTACTGGATAGAAATTATTAAGAAGTAATAAACTTAACTAATTATTAAGAAGTAATAAACTTATATTATAGATATAATATATATATATATATATATAATATAATATATAATAAAATAAACGTTTCGCCGGTTACATTGAAATATACTTGAAACTGAGAAAATATTTCAAACTATTGGCACAAAGAATTCTCGACGCACGTCGTTCCAGCGCAAGAGATTAAAATTGAATCAGTTTAGATTACGAGTTGAGTTATATACGTACAATCCATCATGCTGATTCTTTATAAATCCCGGAATTCGCGTTGTCGAACGATCCGTTACGTTGATGTTGAATGAACGAGATATTCCTGGTTCGCAGGGTCGTCGAGGGTTAGGTAACATTTACGTGTGGGCTTCCGGCGACGGCGGGGAAGAGGACGACTGCAATTGCGATGGTTACGCGGCAAGTATGTGGACTGTCAGTATTAACAGCGCAATCAACGACGGTCAAAATGCTCATTACGACGAGAGTTGCTCGAGCACCCTGGCCTCGACGTTCAGCAACGGCGCTAAGGATCCCAATATAGGAGTGGTAAGTGGCGTTCAAACGCAGTCCGACCTCTGTGTGTGTGTGTGTGTGTGTGTGTGTGTGTGTGTGTTGCCAGACTTCCCCGCGATTTAAGAGCCTCTTAATGAATTTGCCAGATTCGAGGCACCCCGGAGGAATTTCACGATGAACACGGGGAACTCGGATTATACCAAAGGTCGTTCGAAGGCGTTAATGTTTCGAAACTTCTTCCCCCGAAGATACGAATCACGCGCGTGACCTCGTAGACTCGAAACTTCGGCGCGAAAAGTTTCAAGGATTAATTATCTCGAGACTTTTCTCGCGTTGGTTGTAAAAGTCTTTTTTTTTTTTCTATTGCGGTTCAATCGAGACATCGCGATATTTTATTCAATTTAATTTCCAGAGGATCGTTTGGATATGAATAGTTTTCGCAATTTGAAATGTAGCGTCGCATCGAAACTAAGTGCAAAGAGTTGCGAGCCGTGTCTGCGGAATGCACTCGCGATGTAACGCAGTTGCCTAAGTATTCCGAACACGGAAAAGAAAATTCCAGCTTCGCGGAGCAGGCATGCCAGGACCGGGATCAGCTAGAAATGAGTTAGCCTCGTAAACACGAGCAAACTCGAGGAATTTTGTTGCTGCCCCCCCCCCCCCCCCCCCGTAGGAACGCGAGATTTGAATAAACCGTCAAACTTTTTGCAAAAAATTTCCTCCTTCATTCCCGTCGTGTAATCTCGCAAGCTCCTGCCCCTTGTTTCCTCTCACTTTCTTTCGAAGGAAGCGAAGAAACAGTCACGCGCGACGAACTTAACCCCCTTGCGCTGGCAACCGATTCGCGGACCATAACGAGTGACCGAATCCGTATACAACAATTCGTCGCTTTCCTTTTCTTTTCAGCTCGGTATGACATCACTGGATAGAAATTATTAAAAAGTAACAAACTTGTCATCATTTGTTTTGCCCGGATTACATTTAACACATTACGTGCCGCACTTGGCGCGTCCAATCTACTCCCAGGTCCCGCACATTTTTGGAACAACGGGGAAACTTTGTACAATGCATATATGCATTTTTTTAATTCACGTTGATGAAATATTCTTAAATATTTCTATATATTTTTTATAGTAATATTTAAGTATCTATTTATTACGTATATTTTAGATTTCAANTGATGAAATATTCTTAAATATTACTATATATTTGTTATAGTAATATTTAAGTATCTATTTATTACGTATATTTTAGATTTCAACTATTATTTATTTTATATTTATATTTAACTATTATTTTAGATTTTAACTATCACTTATTTTATATTTATGTTTCCAGGGCCCGCACATTTTTGAAACAGCAGGGAAACTTTGTACAATGCATATATGCATCTCTTTAATTCACGTTGATGAAATATTACTATTTACTTAAATATTACTATATATTTGTTATAGTAATATTTAAGAGTCTATTTATTATGTACTTTGGATTTTAACTATTATTTATTTTATATTTATATGAACACATTGAGGACGGTATGCTCTGATAAACATATAGCCTTCTATTTCCTCGTAGTTTTCGAATTATTTAATATATGATTGAAAGGGTTCAAGAGAATGCATAGCATCTAACAAGTGTATTATTTTATTAATAATTAAAATTAGTAACTATTTTATTAAATAGAATGAAAATACCTCTAGTAAGTTTCTTGGCGTGGTATGTTAGGAAACAATTTCCCTACTTCTTGAAAAATTATATAACATTATAATATGCAATTATATATTATTATATATAATATTATATGTGTAATTATGTGTAATATTATATGTAATTATATATATAATATTATATAATATAACTTATATATAACGTTGCCTTGTGTCGTGTCTGCTACAAAATAGCGTTCCCCGTCAGCAACATTGATACAGAAAGACGAGAATTCTCGTCTCCAGTCCGCAACAGTTGAAAATTGAAAGACGCGAATCCGCGTCTCCCGTCCACCGTGTGTTAATTATGCTTAAAACTGAGAAAATGTTGCAGTTTGGGAGAAAAAATTCTCGACGTGCGTGGCACAAGAGGTGAAAAACACGGGTGCTCGTCGCGCGTCAAACGGGTCAATTAGTGGAGATTTTTATTCTTCGACGTTAACGCAGCTCGCTAGTTGGTCGGAGAGCTGCCTCGTTACCGGTTCGTTGGCTAATGGCCAGACAAAGGCCACTCTCTAATTAGAGTGGATAAGCTCGTGCAGGTCGTTCGATATAAATTCGCTTCTCTCGATTCCACAGAAGCGAGGTAGAACCTTTTTCTTTTTTTTCTTTTTTCTAGCAGGCTAGCGATGTTAACAGTTAAAAAAAAAAAAAAAAAAAAAGGAACCGGAGAGGCTGCGAATAACGAGAGGATTTCGCGTCGAATATTTGGTGACGAGTATTGCCCGCCCACGGGGAGCGTTGATTTACCAAAAGGATGAAGAACAACGCTCTCGAGCATTGTTTGAGCGCTGGAAACTCTTGAAAGCGAGTATCGTACGTCGAATTCTCATCAACGCGATACTCTCCGCTCTTAGGAGATGAGGAGATCGATTTTAAATTATTTCGCTGCGATAAATATCGTGACGAAGAGGGAAGATCTGACATGTTACGAATGTGGTGAATTGTAAAATGTCGTCAGCCATTTTATGGTAGCATTCGACGTGTAGGCGTGCAAAGCCCTTGTCAATTTTTTACTGTTCACTCTGCACGCGACGAAGGGTGCCAAGTCGTGCAAAGTGACAAATTTTGTTCCGTCTATAGGGGAAAATTGGAAGATAAGAGGTTTACGAATACATCACGCGGAGGGGGGAGGGGGATCGGAGAAAATCGCCTTTCAGCAAGTTATTATGCCGCTCGGCGTAATTTCAACACAGCGGTAGATCACGCCTAATAGCTACCGCGCTCGATTCTCGCAGGAATTCAGGGAGGAAGACCTTCTCCGGGATAATATAAGCGGAATGGTAGCTGAGGAAATAGAGCTCGTGATTGCTCAGCAGGTGCACGACGTTTATTCTCGGTAAATTCGAGGCGTCTTCCTCGTTTAAGCTTCCTCGAAAAGACGCATGATCTCGATCGGATTTTTCCTTGAAACTCGTTTCATTCGGAGAAACTATTTATAATACCTCGAGCGAAAAATGCTGCGAGATACATAACTTGTTTCATCGTTGCAATTTCAAAAAACTCTGAAGACGCTATAATTTTACTGCGAAGAATATGGGCTGTTTCTTGGAAATCTACTAAATCTATCATATTCAGATACCAATATATATATATATAGGATTTGAAGGTCAGAGAATGAAGTTAGAACACATATATTCAATTTGGTGCATGCATGTTTGAGACTGTACTTGATTAAACTAAACTAAATAGATATTATTGCTCTAAGTGATTTCATATTCTACATGCTCTTTTTCAATCAACGATCAGATCCACTGTCTACTTTGTTCAGTGATCAAATCTATACTGGCCTGTTCAATCAATGATTAAAATCTATACTGTTTATTCTATTTAATGTTCAAATCCATACTCTATACTCAACGACGAAATTTATACTGTCTATTCCACTCAACGACCAAATCCACACTGTCTTACTTCACTCTACAACAGAATTGACTAAATTTACACTGTCTAGTCTGCTCAACAATCAAATCTACTCTATTCTATAACCAAATCAACACTGTCTTACTTCACTCTACAACCAAATTGACTAAATTTACACTGTCTAGTCTGCTCAACAATCAAATCCACACTGTCTACTCTATTCTATAACCAAATCAACACTGTCTTACTTCACTCTACAACCAAATTGACTAAATTTGCACTGTCTAGTCTGTTCAACGATCAAATCCACACTGTCTAGTCCATTTTCATTAATCAAATTCACATTGTCTACTTCATTTTATGACCAAGTACACTGTCTGTTCTTCTTCACTCAACGATCCATTCTGTCTACACTTTTGTCTACATCGTTTTATAATATACAAATATAGTACATAGCGTCGTATAATGACTGCTGGTTATCTGTATGCCTGAGATGAAGTCATAAACTTGACCTGTACTAAGTTTCAGCGCTCCTACGTTTAAGCAAGCTTTCTATCTAATCCATCGTATTAAATTCTTGGATGATTATCAGTTTCAGAGGCGAGAAAAAAAGTAAACTGAAAGGAAACTCTACTCCTCGGATGGCGTTTTGTCATTCGCGTAGCTATGATCAAACAGTATGGGATCGTATACTGGTCAACGACTAAGTCTATCGGAACGCGTTGCGTACGTCCAACGCGAGATTACTCGCTCGATATTGTCTTGCTTACGGGAGACATTCGATGTCGATCAATCGGAGCTTTCGCGATTAGTTGACGTATTCTAGGAATTGGGACGAGAGAGAGCTGGCATTCATCAGAAATGTATATACGTCGATACGTATATATATGTGTGAAACTCATCGAGCTTGTCAAACAGCAGGATAGAGCCTTAAATCATATCTTCGTTTCTTTACAAGTAGTACACGTTATATTATATTATATTATATATAATTTATAATAAAATATTATATATTATATATTATATATAAATTAAATTTATTTAAAACTAGATATTAATAAATACGACAAACATTTAATTTCTAAATATATATTTATTTATTTTTATTTTATATATATATATATATATATATATATATATATATATATATTTAGATCACTTACTTTCGAGATAATTAAAATTATTAAAATAAATTAATTAACCCTGATACGTAAGGTACAAAATAAATTTTTACTTATTTAACAAAATTTATTTTCATTACTTTTAACTATTATTAATATTATTATACTAATATAATTAATATAATTAAATAAAGTTTTATAATAAAAATATATTTTAGTAATAATTAAAAATTAATAATAATATTATTGTACTAATATTAATATTATTAATTTTTAATTATTACTAAAATATATTTTTATTATAAAACTTTATTTAATTATATTAATTTAAAATTATATATATATAAATAAATTTATATTTATTAATATTAAGTAGAAGCACTGTTCGCGCAAGAGTGTCACTTGCGAGTGGATCGTCTCCATCACTCCGTGGGGATTAACGTGAACGAAGAGTTCCCGTTCTTAGCTCACGAAAGCTCGCTCATAAACTTTATATCGCCGGTTTTATGGACGCTCGTCATTGATCGATCCCCCGATATGGAAGCTCTTCCTAGCATGGCGATGAAGATTGCCGTTGCTATTCATCGCCTCTTTCCTTTTATTAGTTCAACGAGAAACGATTCTCGCGGAAAGCAATCATTCTATAACAACGAAGCACACGGTGTGGCTGACTGGAGGAAACGAGCGGATCTGATTCGAGAATCGAGTATATTCTTAAATCGAATGTTATATATATATATCAACCGTTCGATTTCACGAAGCATTTTGGCAAACACGTTTGAGAGAAATGATTTCTTGAAATGGAAAAAATTATAATTTGTACAGTAAGTTCGTTCGAACTATTAATGATGAAATTAACGTTTATTCTTTGCAAATTAATTAAATAACTTTGAAAGTCTCGTCTTTTTCGTCAGAAAATTGCATGTATACATAACATGCGCATTTATGTAATTATTACTTGCAAAGAACATATTTCCTGTATTGAAACGATTAACATACCGATGTTAATAGTGAATGTTGCAACAAACATAAATCGTTCATTGGTCATGAGTTCACTATTTTTTTTGTAATAATAAATTATTTCTTTTAACATACATATGATAATAATGTTAATATTATGATAACAATTGTAATATATAAATGTTCTGTTTCCAATTTCTAATTAATAATTAAATCTATTATTTCCAATTTCATGTTATACTTGAAACATTTCCAGTGTCTGTCTTCTTTCTACTTACAAAATTATCCATATCGTACGTTGCTTTATTCAATGCATTCGTGTTCAATGTATTATTACTTTTAACGAAGCATAATCAAAAAGGCTAACGAATTTATTACACATCCTAATGAAGTGAGAGAAGCTTATTTTCGATAGTCTTTTCTTGAGCTAACCACGTGCTACCTTGTATTTTTTTTTTTTTTTACAATAGATACACGAACCGATTTTTAATCGATATTACGAGACGAAACAAGGAACCTAAAAAAAAAAAAAAAAAAACAAAAAAAAAAAAAAAAAAAAATGGCTCTCTTAAAACGCTGTCTTAAAAGATAATGAAAGGGAATGCACGATGAAGCGGCCGAGAGAGAAGTGCGTGATCGTTAGTGAGAAGAGCCTGTTTTCGATATTTAATCTTGTATAAACTTAGCTGTTAACAACGCGTTAACCCCCTATCTTTCCTACAATCCACCGTATCAGCGGCGAGAGCGTGTTCCTGAATAGATTTCGCCTGCCCCTCGTTTCTGCGCTCGATAGCTGGATTTTATGGATGAACACGGTCCGCTCGTGTTTCCCGCGCCCGTTCCACGAAAATTTCACGGCCGAGCGAAGGGGGAAATAAAACGAAGAAAGACGAGAGGGATTACACGGGCCACACCCGAATAAGATTTATACGAAATCCCGGTCGTTCGAGCGTTGAGTGAAACGAAACCAAGAGACACACCTCATATTTTTTCCTTTTATTCCGATTCAATCTTTTCACGCTATCATGCCTTTCGCAGTGTGAATCGTTATCGAAGAAATTGTCAGAAATTGAGGGCCGATTCTTGAAATTACTCCACTAAGGTGGGACATTAGGCGAAGGAGGAGGAGAGGGTCGATTATTGGAACGTTTTAACGCGATCTCATCGATCGAATCGTACGTTTGATACGGAAATTTTCTTAATATCAGCGAAACACGCGCGGCTGCTACAACGTTTAAAAAAAAAAAAAAAACAGAACGTTTACACTATTCCATTTGCGAATTGCCGCGTCTTCAATCGTCTGGAACGCGCCACGGTGTCATTGAAATGCAAACAACGCGTATTTTCACAACGAACTCGGTGACGTTACGAAGTAAATGCTAATTTCAGAAGTTGGCGAGCCTCGGAACGGGACGAGAAAGCGCGTTTCGCACTGATATTTTTCTCTTCTTCTTCTTCTTTTCTTCTTTTTTTTTTACAGGCCACGACCGATCTTTACGGCAAATGCACGACGACGCACAGTGGGACGTCAGCAGCTGCACCGGAAGCTGCGGGAGTGTTTGCCCTCGCGCTCGAAGCCAAGTGAGTGAAACAAAAGAGAATTTTAATATCACCTCCTCTCGAACGACGATGTTCATCCGCCGTTCGTCGTTTATAGAATCTAAACAGTGAATCGAAACAGTAATATATAAGTTCTCTTGCGATATTTCCGCGAAAACAAAGTGTTACTATACGTTGACAAAAGAGTAACGTCTCCGTAAAGTAGCGTGCACAGTGGCAGTGTCCAATAACGAGTTGTACAACGACAATGCAACATAACATGAAAGTTCGAAAATCGAATTTGAACAGGATGTAAAATATTTTTTTTTAAAAGGACGAGTCGAAAGTTCTTTTCTTCTCTTGGCGCAACCGTTTCGGTACTTACGAAAGGATAATTTGTAATTTTTCTGATAACATCTCGCCGTTAAATACAGATTAATTACTGGAATTACAAGTATGTCGATACCTTTTTGTTTTAATACTCGAATTTTTATATTTGTTGTAACATTACTGCACAACTCGTTATTGGAAATTATATGTCTTTGAAAAGTTACACCTGTTTTGATCTGACCGTAATAAGAAAATTGTTCCAATGACAGTTGGGAAAATTATCGATGATTGAGACTGATATAATTTCGTGAAAAAACGATCCATTTAATTATCATATAATTATAATCATATAATAATTAAATTATCGACAATTTTTCAATGTCCTCCATAAAATCCGAATACTTTTGATGAAAAGAATTTTCAAAGATTTAACTTCGTAACCGCCAATGCTCGATCGCGATAAATATCGAATTAACACAGTTGCGAGACGAGAAGAAGAACGGCAAGAAAGCCTGGACTTCGCTCGAGGTTCAACTGCGAAACTTTTCGTGGCCATTTATTTTTAATGTGAAATTTGCGTGTTCGATTTTCACTCGTGAAGGCGATTTTTGTTCGTTATTAGGGGAGGACTATACCTACGGCTGGGCGATTAAATGAAAACCGATAAATGAGCCGTACTCGTTCATCCGGAAATAAAATAAATAAATTATTAACCGACACGCCGGGCAAATAAATTTTGCACAAACGTCGGCGATAAAGCGATGGAATTTAGCAATTTTCAATGACCAAACGCGAATGCTGTCCCGCCGGTATTAAATATCGAAGATATTGCGTTTTTTTGGCTACATATTTGGCAATGGTATTCGTTGATCAGCGCAGCTCGATTGTCTAAATTGAGAATTGTCGAACGGGGGGAGAAAGATTTTATATGAATAAATTTTATAATGTGACTGATAAATTTCACTGCTCAAACAATTTTGATATTAATTTATATAATTATTATACAATTATATTATCATATCATATACGATTAATTTTTACATTAAAACCAGTCGAAAAGAATTTCCGATGAGGGTAGAAGCGGAATTGAAGAGAGCAGAAACAGAGATGAAAAGAGATTAGAATAGAAACGAAGAGATGGGGAAGGATGGAAAAAAGTGATCGGTGAAAGAGCGCGGAAATGTAAGAACAAAGTCGAAAGGGGGGGAGGTAAGGGAGAAAGAAGAAACCGATAAAAAAAGAGACCGATGTCAAATAACGGTAAAAAGCGTAGAAAGTACGGCGGAGGGTAGAAAGTGTACCGTAGAAAGAAAAGCGGAAATAGGTCAGAAAATTGTAACTGATTGTAAGTACAAAGAGGAGGAGGAGAAGCGTACCGATCGAACTGTGTCGAATCGTTTCAGGTGCAATCGAAATTGCATATCGTTTGTTCATCTGCCGCGATAAACTATAATTTAGGACAGAGTCATTTAGCTGCGAATTATGACGCGATTGCTTTGACATTTTAAGCGTTGTGTGCACGCCACGTGTATGCTACAAACATAAAATCTCGCTTTAATTTTGTAGCCGTATCGACGAGAGAGCTATCCGGAGGGGCATTAAAGAGCGGGAAGTACCATCTGTCTGAAATACGATGCAGCTTGCCGTTTTTATCGTTCGTTTAATAAACGAATAATATCGCGAATTATAACGCAAAGCAGCTCCACGCAGCTTTATTATTCGACATCGATAACACATTTAACGACCCAGTGCAGATTGAGTTAATTGCTCGAATCGAGTTTCTTTCTTTATTTTTTTTTTCTTTTTTTCTTTTTCATCGAATTATCGTTGTTGAAGTTTTCGAGATTCGCGAAATTTGCGAACTTTGTTGCGCACGAATTCGCGATGAAAATATCCGGATTGATCCGTTCTACTGCAAAAGCACGCGTTAACGAGACCGCCCGATATCTCGAAAGGAGCAGAGCGAAAGGTTGGAAATTTTCAAATGAAATATTTTGAAAGTTACTATATTCCAAGGTTCCGTAAATAAACTCGATGTGGTTTTGCATAGTTTAATTCCAGATAAATATTATTTATAAAAATAATAGACTGTTTGTTATTATATTTATTTATTATTATTATTCATTATATTTATTATTATATTATTTATATTATTATATTATATATATTTATTTATTATTATTATGTATTATGTTTATTATTACGTTATATTTTATATTTATTATATTTATTATTATATTATATATTTTATTTATTTTATATATTTATTTTATATACTTTTTATTATTATGTATTATGTTTATTGTTATATTATATATTATATTTATTATATTTATTACTATATTTATTTGAAAACACATGACATCACATCAGCGGCAACCAGACATAGAATTTGAAAAGACGTGAATCCACGTCAGCGATCGCGAATGTTAACCTCTTGCGCTGGAACGACGTGCCACGCACGTCGAGAATTTTTTTTTTGCCTCAAAATTGCAATATTTTCTTCAATTTTAAGTATATTTAAGTGTAACCCAGGCAAAACGTAACAAAATAATAAATTTACTACTTCTCAATAATTTCTATTCAATGATGTCATACCGACGAGTTCGAAGAGAAAGCGACGAATTATTGTGACACGGTGTTTTGGTCACTCGTTCTGGTCCGCAATCAGTTGCCAGGCGCAAGTGGTTAACATATATATATATATAAAAAAAAAGCAAAGAATTTTCTCGTTTTTCAAAAGATAACTTTAGACTTCTTTCGAAATCGTTCTTTCGAAAGAAGAAGAATCAGCACACAGAGAGGATCGTTGATTCCTGATTTCAGTCCGCAATTGACCTGGCGCGACATACAGCACTTGACGGTTCTAACGTCGAAGCGGAACTCGCTGTTCGACGCGAAGGGAAGATTCCACTGGACGATGAACGGTGTCGGCCTCGAATTCAACCACCTTTTCGGCTACGGTGTGTTGGACGCTGGTGCGATGGTCGCCCTGGCGAAAAAATGGAAAACCGTACCGCCACGGTATCACTGCGAGGCTGGCTCCGTGCTCGAAACACAGTGAGTGTTGCTATCGATTCCGTCTCCGTAGGTGTTCGTAGCCAAGAGGGGAGGAATGCCTCGTCCTGCTCCTCCCTGTTCCCTGTTTCGACCGTCTGTTTTCGCGTTCGAAAGTCGAAAATCGTGTACAACAAAGATGGTATGGCAGTATCGATTTCCGCTTCCTCGATTTCCCTTCTGTGGATCGTGTCTACTTTACTTCGCGCAGACATTAACCGATTGGAACTTCTCCTCGAACAACCTCCTTTTCCCAACATCCACACGAACATCCTCTCAGCGTCACGAGTTTTCGACAGCTCGACGACAAGACGAACGCGTGTCAATTTCCTTTTTAGGGAAGTGACGAGCGATCGATCGATCCTGCTGAAAATAAAGACTGATGCCTGCGCCGGCACCGAGTACGCCGTCAACTATCTGGAACACGTGCAGGCCGTCATTTCCGTGAACGCAACGCGCCGAGGTGATCTCGAGTTGTTCCTCACTTCTCCCATGGGCACCAGGTACGTACGTCGACGTTTGAAAATCCATCGTTTCGTTTTTACCGATTGATCTGAACGAGATTCACGATTAATTTCAACTGGGTTCCAGATCGATGATCCTCAGCCGAAGGATAAACGACGACGATCATAGAGACGGCTTTACCAAATGGCCCTTCATGACTACTCACACCTGGGGAGAGTATCCCCAAGGGAACTGGTTGTTGGAGGTATCGAGATGACGCGAGAATTTTGAGTGATATTGTTATTAACTTATAATACAAGTTAATATTTAACTTATATTGTTAATATAAGTTAATATTTAACTTATATTATTGACAATTTAAGTTAATATTATTAAAATTATAATTATAATTATAACTTATATTACTATTATAATTATAATTATAACTTATATTACTACTATAATTATAATTATAACTTATATTACTATTATAATTATAATTATAACTTATATTATAAGTTATAACTATAACTTATATTACTATTATAATTATAATTATAACTTATATAATTATAACTTACAATATAATTGTAACTTATATTGTAAGTTATAATTATAACTTATATTATTACTATAATTATAATTATAACTTATATTACTACTATAATTATAATTATAACTTATATTACTACTATAATTATAATTATAACTTATATTACTACTATAATTATAATTATAACTTATATTACTATTATAATTATAATTATAACTTATATTATAAGTTATAACTATAACTTATATTACTATTATAATTATAATTATAACTTATATAATTATAACTTACAATATAATTGTAACTTATATTGTAAGTTATAATTATATAATATATATATTTTATATAAATTATTATATATATATATTAACTTATATTTATTATATAATATATATACTAACTTATAATTTTATATAATATATATATAAGTTATATAATTTTATACAATATATATATAAGTTATATATACATATAATAATAATTATAAAGAAATTATTAACTTATAAGTTTAGTACTTATAAAGAAATTATTAACTTATAATATAAGTTTAGTACTTATAAAGAAATTATTAACTTATAAGTTTAGTACTTATAAAGAAATTATTAACTTATAATATAAGTTTAGTACTTATAAAGAAATTATTAACTTATAAGTTTAGTACTTATAAAGAAATTATTAACTTATAATATAAGTTTAGTACTTATAAAGAAATTATTAACTTATAAGTTTAGTACTTATAAAGAAATTATTAACATATAAGTTTAGTACTTATAAAGAAATTATCAACTTATAATACAAGTTTAAAGTGCTATTGCCGGCACTTTAACACTTATCATTGTAATTTTAATTCCCTTTATCCAATTTTCATTAAATCAAATATCGCGTTTCAGAGCGAATCGATGAGACTTCTATCAAATTTCTTTCAGGTGAGCTTCAATACTCAAACACCCCAACACGGATGGATCCGAGAGTGGACACTGATGCTGCACGGCACCAGGGAGCCCCCTTACACTGGACTTCCGGCGGCGGATCCGCACTCGAAGTTAGCGATCGTGAAGAAGGCTCACGAGGAACGATCGTCAGCCATGTAACGATCGCCACGGGAACGACCCACGAAAATACGTTCATATCGAGAGATGTTCGTGCGACTACTAGTCTTATTGTTTTAAGGATCTCATTTTTACGAGGACAAAATTCGAGCGCAACGCTACTACTTTTACGCTACGCTTTCGTAATCGTTCGTTCGTTCGTTGGCCACACGGTGTTGAAACGCTTCTCGTATTATATTATACGTTGGGCGTGTAATTCTGAAATATTCCGACTGCTGTCCAGTTACGTTCCGAGTTTGTTTAAACGAGCACGTCTTTGAGCGAATATATCCCTGTGATATCGCGTTGCGTATTATTTATAGCCGAGTAATGTTTTCGTCGTTTCGCAGCTGCTAGCTTGTCGTTGTTGTCTCTTTTTTTTTTTTTTTTTTTTTCGTTTTTTTCTCGCCTTTGCGGCGAACTGTAGTATTTATTAACGGAGGACGTTGTGACTCTCCTCCGTTTAGATTCTATCGGTGTCGTGTCCGACTTCTTATCCTTCCGACGATCTCTCGTTAATACTTCATTATTTAATCCACGATTCATCCAGCGTTGTAAATCTAATCTAGAAACTGTGGAGTCGAACGTTTTGAAATTACGTTTACCTATCGTTCGTCGAGCCACACCGCTGCGCGAGCACATCCGAGGGGACACTAAACGGACACTTAACGGCCAAGGAAGTTGACAAGGGTAGGCGAGTCCCTTCGCTTGAAATATCGAACACACGAAATCCGTTGACGCACGTTGAAAGGCCGCACTCTCGGATCTAAGAACGCCACGCCGAAGAGTCTCAGTTGGGAACAATAATCATTCGGAAATCGTCCTCGCAACTCGACGAGCCCGTCCGTCTCGTACCAATTAACTTAACCACTGAATTCGTAGCTGAGTTTTTTTAGCGCGTGTCGAGTTGGGAGGGATTATCAAACACACACACAAACACACACACATACACACCCACAGGAACAATGACACAGGTCCACGCGTGCCAACGTTTGTGATTTTTCTCTAACGAAGAAAAGATATTTTTCGAGAGAGAGAGAGAGAGAGTTTCGAAATTCACGAGTTTCACGAAGGATACGAATTTTTTTCCGGTTTTCGGATATATATCTATCGTAGATTGTTAGACGTTCGACTATATATATATATATGTATATACCTGTACATGAATTTTTCTTGAGAGATAAAACGTTACGTCGGTCAAGATTTTACATTTTAAATTATTCACACCTCCGCGTGAAAACTTTGAACAGAGACGATCGCGTGGAATTTTATTCGTTGAGCAACAACGTTTTACGAATCACAATTTCAGACTGTGTCCCTTTTATCGATATACTCGGCCTTTATGCCCGCTTTGGACTTCAAACTTGTGGACGATCGCATCTGTTTTTTTTTTTTTTTCACTGTTTCTGTCTTTAACGAGAATTCGCGCGAACTTACTTGTCACTTACATATCCTTACCGAGTGTCGGATCCTTTGCACGACGCACAACATGTTTCTGATAGTAGGATCAATTTTTTACAACACTCGTCGACAGATAGAGATACGAGACGCGGGCACGAAAGAAGATACAACACATATATCGAAATACAATATAATATATATATATATATATACACGCGTATATATCAGTAGAGAATCAACGTATAAAGACTTTCTTGGTAGTGTTAACAAATTTTCAAAGACACGTAGAAGCAGAAAGCGCACGATACCTGGTTCGACGTTCGCACGCATGGACCAATTTCGACTCGAAGCACGCAGCCGATCCACTTTGTCGCGCGTTCTTTTTAATTTATCATATCGAGGTTCGACTGTGTTTCTCGGAGAGAACCGTTCCGAGTGGAAACGAAGCTGTACCCCTTTCAAGAGTACCGACTCGCCGGTTTTGCTTTATGTCATTAGTCCACGTGCTTAAGAAAAAGAAAAAGAAAAAAAAAAAAAAAAAAAAAAAAAAAAAAGAAAAGGAAAAACGAGCAAGAGATTATTTCGCTGAAGCGTATACTCCCTCGAGATCGACAGACATTTCGTGGCTTTACGACGGAGAAAGAGGAAAAAAAGAAAAAAAAAAAACAAAACTCTCCTCATCAGTGACATCCATCAGTATTAAACGATCGGCCGATCAACGAAACTCTTTGAAGTTTCGTTACGATTATTAATCACACCGACGCCTCTTAGTCGGCTAGCGGATATAATTGTGTAAGATTATTTCTGATCTATGTATATCAGCGAAGACTCGACGGGCGCGAGGTTGGGATCCCAATCACGCGTGAGGGTCTTCGCCCCGAGAAGAACAAGTTCTATAATATATTTACACGATCTCTGTGTGTGCAACTCGTATGTAAAGGAGCCTCTTCATTGTTTCATTTGATTCCGAGAGAAATATGCGTTCTCACGCGTAATTGAGGCGAGGGATGAGACTAGCCTGGGAACTGGAAAGTACCAATCGCTGATTATCAACCGAACTGTTACCAAAAAGAACCATGCACACGCGCAATGTATCGTGACGTATCGGAATTTTTTTGAGAGGAACTTGGCCATTCGCGCGGACGCGAGAAGGAGGGAGAAGCGAGAACGCGCGTGACAGAGGAAAAAAAAGAAAAAGGAAAGGATGAACGAGAATATTATATAGAAATAAAAAAAAATATATATATATATATGAAAAAAAAAAAGAAATGATAAAAGACGTATAGATACTCTAGATACGTAGAGGTCAGAGAGTTCGAAACTTGCGCATAACACACACCGAGGAGGACAACATCAACAGAAATATACATATTATATATATGTATATATATATATATATATATATATATATATATATAGTTGAAGTGAATTTAATCAACCTTATTCTGTACGTGATGTACGTGGATGAATAAAATCTTTATTTTTGGCCTGCATCGTTTTTATATGCTGTACCCGCGAGATCCATTCACGCCACCGTCGCCCTCTCCTTCGACGAAAATCGCTTTCGTTCCCTCGTCACTTTCATTTTCAACCAAGGGGAAGAGTGTGCTGCTGCGATCCTCCTCTCGTTTCGAGCACGACAGCAAATTGAGAAAGAGAGAGAGAGAGAGAGAGAGAGAGAGAGAGAAAGAGGTAGAAGGACAACGAGGTTCTAATTCCATTAGAGGCTAAGTAGATGTTTCAATATCAACGTAGTAAAGCTTCGAATGCGAGTTAAAATCGTTTCGTTTCGGGCGCGTACGGCTTCGTTCAGATCCACATCGATCCCGCGAGCTGAGTTTCGTCAAGTATTTTCCAGTTTGGCGTTTGCTCTCTGAATTTCTCTCGAGCAAATTATTTCGTGCGAATGAAAACGAAACGAGTAAAGCGAGCTAACTACATACGTACGTGTGTTTCACCGCGTAGCCCAGAAATTCGTCGAAAGTTGACGTTTCCGTTGGCGAGAGAAGAGAGAGAATGTTTTTAAGCGCGTTATCCCCGCGGAGGAGACGACGGAAATTTGCATGGCAAAGGTACTAGAACGCGGAAACGAGGCGTGAATATCCGAAAGCAACGGCACGTCCGCGCGTTAACGAAGTTAAAAATTTCCATACGTCGCGCTTCATTGATAACGTGCTTAATGTGTTTCATCGGGCCGCGCGGCGCGAGAAGAGAAGAGCGGGAATACAAAAAGGGGAGATCGGCCCGAGTAGTGGAAAAACGGATCAGCAGCGCACAAAGCCTGTATCAGGAACGAACATCAGCGGAGCCATTTATCCGCTACGCTTTTGTCTCATTCCGACAATGATATTCTCCGCGGCGACAGAAATGACAAAGCTATCCGCTGTATTTTCTCTCTCTCTCTCTCTCTCTCTCTCTCTCTCTATTTTCTTCTGTTTTTGTAAATCGAATTTCACTCGGTCGGCCGTGAAGTATCTCGTTCCAAGCTGCCAGCCTTCCGAAAAATCACTGTTTGGCCGAGTGTTCTCTTCTCTTTTCGCCGAAATCAATTTCCCCCTTCTCTCTCTCTCTCTCTGAGAATGGCCTCGCCGATCGATAACTGCGAAGAAAATGGTTTTCCACTAATAACGTCAGAAAATAGAAACGAAAGAAAGGAGGAAAGAGAGAAATTCGGTCCGTGAGCCTGAAATTTGTCGTCGAATATTTTAATAGATTGTTTGGAATTGGCTGTAAAGCGGTCGCGATACCATTGATCATTTCTCTTCTCCCCCCTTCCCCAACCCTCTTTCTTTCTCTTTTCTTTTTTCTTTTCGAAATCGATAGTTAAACACACGAGCTGACCTAAAAATAATTTTTCAGTTGCTTCGGCCGTGCTCCAATTAAACGGCGAACCCACTCCGTCCGCGCGGAACCATTGTTTAGAAGCCTGGAACCGAATGTTTTCATCGACGCGACGCGACACTGTGGTCCTCCGTTTGTTAATTCGATTTTCCTCGCTTTTCTTCTTCTTCTTCTTTTTTTTTTTTCACACGTCGATCACTTCTTTCTTTTTCCTTTTTCACGCGAGTGGAAACTGCTCGCGCATTCCTAGCTCGCCGGAAGGCTTGACAGATTGCCATCGATCGGCGTAATTAACCGGCCGGGAGAACGGATCGTGAGCGCTGCCAATTTGCATAATTGGGTCGGCGTTGTTAAAACGTTATTTACGCGGGTTTCGTAAATCCAAGCCCGTCAGCGATTAACCAGGCAAGACACAAGTAGAAAGAGGGGGAGAGCGAATCGTCGAAAGTGTTGTAAATTAATAACTGGGTCTGCGGTGACCCGTTCGAAGTCCTACTTTGTGTGTGAATCATACAAAGTTAGCCTATACGATTATGATTTGGCGATAAGAAAAATGGGATCACATTACGTTTCCAATAAGAAGTCAAATCGGTGACGAACGCACGTACGAATCAGTGAATGGTCGGAAGTGTATTGCAGTATTTTTCATTAGTAGTATCCTTTAGTTTTTTTTAGTATTTTTCATTTTTTGTATTTTTTAGCCTCTCAGTGTTTTCCATTTTCTAAAACTTAAAACTTCCAAAACTTAAACCGATCGAGATGTTTTATTTGCATAGGCAAGTATAACGCTAAATGTAACTGCAACTGTCACAATTTCGTTTTGTAGCAAACATAAATGCAATCCAACGTATTAGACACAACGGAAATAAATAATGTTATTTATAGGTAACAAAAGTAGCAAAAGGTGTTTTTATTTCCTACTATACTATTGTTACAACAATCATAATAAAAATACAAAAAAGAAATGAAATTGAAACTACCAACGACTACATACAGGCGTACATCGTTCCACCGGAATGGCTTGGGTCTCGCGAGACCCGGCCACCGGCCAGTACAGCCCG